TGGACAACGATCAGCTTCAACGGAGATAATTTTCACATCGGAACGTAATCCTTTAATAGCAGTAGCCACTCCTGCAACAAGTCCTCCACCACCTGCCGGCAAAACTACAGCATCAACGTCAGGAAACTAATCACAAAGTAATCTCAAATATCAAACGACTATTACCTGTTCAATTATTTCCAAGCCAACCGTTCCAGCGCCAGCAATAACATCCTTATGATCATAGCTAAATATTGCTGACTTGTATACTAAATTAAAAACACTCGCCCATTAATGTACTTTCCACCTTCATCTAAGCTTTTGCCCAATGCAATTAGCCGACTTTCAGATAGGTTTTTCCCCTAAAACTCACGTGAAAAGATACAAAAAAGCGCTTCTACCTGAACAATGACGTTTCCTCCCAACTTCTTGCGATGAGCAATCTTTTTAATTGGTGCATGTCGAGGCATTACCACCTAATCAAAGCATACCAATTATTTAAACATTTTACTTACCGTAACGGGGATACCCAATTGTTTTCCATGCATGCAGAGTGCTTGTGCGTGATTACCAGCTGAGGCAGCATAAACCTAAAACGAAGAAAATTCAGCAGACACCACAAATTTTACTCCAAAATACCAAAATACCTAAACCAAAATAACTGTTTTTTGAAAAGAAAAAAACTCACGGCCATTTGTGGGATGACGGTCTATCGACTTTGAGATTATGACCACTTTCCAAATAAAAACTAAAACCATTCTTAGAAAAGTTGAACGAAGCCCACTTTGTGACACTGTTGCAGTCAATGGCTTCAGGTGGAGGCGGGTTTACAGAATTCATGGACTAAATTTGTTAGGATTATCAAAAAAGTGGCTTCTAGTAGTTACTAAATCGTTAGGTTGTTGCTGAGTGGGACGTGTGTGTTTCCCTCTGTTTTGACTTGGTTGATGCGACTGTTGTTGCGTTGTGGTGGTTGCAGTGTCCCAACGTGATTGTCGTGTATTATTCCCTTTGCTGTGTCCGAGCGAGTTGTTATCTGGTTGAATTTTGGCTGTCACAACCTCCACAGTAACCGGAGCCGCCGTTTTTGACGCTAAATTGATCAAGTAAACACAAAATGGATAAAAAGTACGGCACCATCATTCGCCGTCTTCAGATTTACTGAGCAATCGTGCATCTTCCTAAAGTTTTCAGAAATAACTTTCTTTAAACAAAAGATTCTTTACGTCTTAGATGAGTTTACCGATAGATCGAATTTCTTCCTAAAAATAAGCAATTTGTTTTCCAAAAAAATACTCCTCACATCTTTGATAGATTCTGCCTAACCAATGGATTTATTCCTCCAATCGATTTGAGATCAGTTTTCTAAAAAAGCAGCCATTTTTGAAGATTTAAGTAATAAGCAACCTCTTCTTTCAATTCTTCCTCAACCCTTTTCGGCGCCAAATCCCATTCTAAATTCTCATATCAAAAATAAAATCAAGAATCAAACGTTGTGAGATTGAAATTCAAGCAAAATAAAATTTGACCCCTCTATGTGCAGATCGAGATTTTGAGACTGATTATCCGCCAATCGGCTTTGTAGAGGTTTTGTTAGTTCTCTTGCAAACTAAAATATTCAAAGTTAACGTTGATAAATCCGGTAACAAAAAGAAACAACTTACATATGAGTATGGTGGAAGTGAGAAAACCGACAATGATTGTTCCGCTTATTGGCAGCAAGCGCAACAGAAAGAGAAAATCAACCATAGCCGAATAGAATAAAGAATACGAAATGTGAGGTTTGACTCCAATCTTACGTCATTTGCCAAAAATTAAATAGAGATTTATGACACCCACTAAAATGGAAATTTGAATTTTTCAAATTTGCATTTTAGTGGGTGACATGAATTACACTCAAGTTTTTATCAGTTTTTATCAGATTATCATTTTTCACGCTGGCTATCACTACTTAGAGTGCCTATTAAAGGGCTTTAGTTCCAGAGTCAGAAACACCCAAACCTTTGAAAGTAATGATCTCTCCGTTTGTGAATGAAATGTTTACCCTCGATCTCCCCAAGTCTTTATGTTCGCGCGGATAGAGAATTTTTGCTAAACGTAGGGAGAGATATCTGCTTAACTGTTGTATTTCACTACAAACAAACAATGCTTGAGTTTCTTGTAGAAATTGCGCATTTTACTGTTTATACTCTGTCATTATCCCTTTGCTTTTCATTATTCATTTTAGAATAGAGATTCTTAACGCACTTTTCAATCAGCTATCAAAATTTTACACAAATTCCCCAATCATTTTAAGTTACAATTCGTTTCCCCGTCTTTTTCCTTTTTCGTTCTCTTAGAAATCTACCAAATCATCCAAATTTCCTTCTTGGCGATTTTAATTTTCCTTTAACTGTTTCTCTAGGACTTTTACCTAATTTATCGCGTTTTCCACATTTAGAAAACTTCGTGTCAGCCAACAGCGTAGAAATTTTAAACAAATTCCCTACTTTCAGGAAAAGTTCGCATATTTTAGATTTAGTTTTAACCGATTCCCCTCATTTAATTTGAGCTATTTCACCATGTCCTCCCATTGGTGGTGCCGACCATTTTTCTATGTCTTTTAATTTAATTCTGCATCATTTTACCTCTCTAAAAGGACCGGATGATGGTAACCGTGCCTTTTGGAGAGGTAATTTCGGTGCTGTCTGTCTTTCTTTAGCGCTCTTCAATGCAAGGTTTCTTCCCCGATTAGAGATGGACATCAACGAGTGTTATGCCGACTTCTTTGAAGAGATGAAATCGCTGTTGGACGAAAATGTACCTATTTCAACCAGGTCTACCTTTTCTTACCCCAGTCACATATCTCGAGCTAGGCAAAGGTTAGAAGCAGCTTGGCGTTATCGCGATTCCCCCCATTACACATATCTAGAAAACAAGCTAACTAAGTTTGTCAAGAAATTTGAGGCCAATATTGAACGGAAAGCCGTTTTTAGTCCTAGTCCCAAAGCTTTTTACTCATACGTCTATTCTAAGATGAATCCAAGCCACGATTCCTCTATTAAATGTATATTTGACCCCCTTCGCAACTCGTTGATTTTCGAAAATCACAAAATTGCTAATTCCTTTGCTCAATATTTCTCCAGCCTTTTTGCAGTTGACGATGGTAGTTGCATCCCTGTTCTTCCCGCCCCAGCACATACTTGCGCAGCCCTAAGCGTCACACCAAGACTGGTCGAAACAGCAATTAGTAAGCTTAGCAATAAGATTTCTTACACCCCGGACGGAATTCCCTCTTTTGTTATACGGAAAACTAAGTTTCAAATATCACCACTACTTGCTAAACTTTTTAATCTGTCACTTCTAACGGCTAAGATCCCTAAATTTTGGAAAGACTCAACGATTTCGCCACTTTTTAAGAAAGGAGATCGGAACGCGCTTGCAAATTATAGACCCGTCGCGCTCACCTCCTCCATTTGTAAAGTCTTAGAAATAATTATTCGCGACCACATTATTCACTATCTAAATGAACATAATCTAATTTATAAAAATCAATTTGATCAATAAAAATCAAATCTTAAAAACCGCTCTACCTCCGATCAAGCTAGTTCTCTGTGCGCATGACTGGCTTCTAGCTAAAGCCAAAAACGATCAAACTAGCTGCGTTTTCATTGATTTTTCCAAAGCATTCGATTCTGTTAATCATAGATTAATTTTTAATCGCCAAACTAAATTCACTAGGTCTCCCCATATCCATCACTAATTGGATTGCAAATTGGCTTACCGAAAGGACTTTTCGCGTCCGCTTAGGCTCTACCTTTTCGAATGACTTCCCCATTAGTAGCGGAGTGCCCCAAGGGAGCGTTCTTGGTCCTCTTCTTTTCCTTATCTATATTAATGACATTAACAGTTCGATCTCCCTAGGCACAAAAGTCCGGCTCTACGCCGATGATCTTAAAATTTATAGAGTACTTCCGTCCCAGAGCCCCATCCCCGATTTTACTCTTCTCCAGAAGGATCTTGATTCGATCCTTTTGTGGAGTAAATTTTGGAAACTTAACATTGCGCCGGACAAATGCAAACACGTTACATTTGGCTCATTACATATCCCTTTAAAATTGGGGGACCTACAATTACCACAAGGGTTGGCCGATGATCCTGTAAAAGATCTTGGTATACTGTTAGTTCCCTCTCTAAAATTTGATCCTCACATAAACTGCATTTCCAAAAAAGCTTCTAGAATTTCTAACATAATTCTTCGCGCCATTTGTTTCCCTAAAATCGCGACTTATCGCAAGGCTTTTATAACCTATTGCCGACCTTTGCTCGAGTATGCCACCATCGTATGGTCACCTTCCATTAAGAAACTTATCACCTTGGTTGAAAATGTCCAACGGCGTTTCACTAAAAAAGCATACACTCGTCGTTTCCCTTCTTCTCTTATTCCAAATTATGAGACTAGACTTATAGTTTTTGATTTAAAACCCCTTTTATATCGCCGTATTTACTTTGATCTTATTTTTTTGCTATAAAATTCTTTTCCACCCTAAGTCACATCCAGAATTTCAAAGCCTCTTGAAAATTGTAGAAATTTATAGAAGTTCACGTAGTCATCCTTATCAAATTTCGGTCGGTTCTCATCCCCATCATCTTTCTCTTTATCATTCTTTTGCGAACCGTATTAGTAGGGTTTGGAATAAGCTCCCGTCTGGTATCTTCTCGTCTGTAGGAAAATTCAAAGTATCTGTGAACGAATTAGATCTTATTGCCATGTCAAATCTGCCCTATATTTAATCTTTTTGTATCTGTGTTTCCTAACTGTACTCTTACTGTACTATCTTTAGTTTTCTCTCTTTGTTCGGTGAGAGTATTGTAGCAATATGTTATATGCAGTTATGATTATCTGATTCGCTTCTATTCGTCCCATGAATAAAACATATATATAAAGTCGCATATTTGACATCCTTTCTCTATTTTCGCTCATTCTTTATTCATTTCATTTCATTCGATTCTTAAATTTCATTACATATTTCTTCAGCTTAATGGATGATCCACCTCGTCATTCGAAATGCCAGAAGCTGGTTGCTGTGCTGATTCTACTGTTCATCAATCTACTCAACAAAGTGGATCAATCTGCAATCGCAAGTGCTTTTTTATACGTAAACATAGAAAAAGCTTAAACGATTTTGGTTCTTTATCAAAATTTGATCTAAATGTGATATAAAAATGTACAACTTGGATTTCTTTCTTTCTAGACTAACACAAAATACAATTGGTATAATTTCAGTGCTTCTCATCGACATTCAAAAATTCTTTGGAGTCGACGGCGATGGTGAAATGGGATTACTTCAAGCGGTTTATATCGTCCTTTCCACGTTGTGTATTCCAGTCTTTGGATACTTGGGACTTCGGTAAGTATAAAATGGATAGAGTTCTTCAACTGAAAGTTTCTTTTAGATACAAACGTAAATGGATTATGGTCATCGGAACACTAGTGGGGGCTCTGGCCGGGTGCGCATCAACATTTGTTGCTAAAGAGGTAAATTGAATTAACTTGCGATGGATAACAATGTTTATTTAGTCCTTTTGGTTGTTTCTCTTGATGCGCAGTGTTGTGGCAATCGGTAAAGCCTCAGCTGCGGTCGTCTCTCCTACAATTATTGGCGATATGTATAGGGGAAAAGCTCGTTCAGGGATGTTGGTATTGTTCTATATCACCAGCCCATTTGGAAGGTTTGATGCATTTGAATAAGGCAAGTAAAAATATTGTGCGCTTCAGGGGAATTGGTTACATATTTGGATTACAAATGGCAAAGCGACTGGGAGGATGGCAATGGGGAATATGGCTAATAGCGTTATTGGGTGCGTTTAATCCTTCCAGCCCAATTTCATTTTTAAAGTTTAGGCGTGGCTTCTGTCATCCTGATGGTATTATTTGTATTTGACCCAGAACGAAAACTCAGTGGATCATCGGTAAATTAAAGATATTTCTATTGATCTTGTTAATTTTAGAATTCTACACGCAAAGAAGATATGGAGAATGCACCTTTGAAGGTAAAAATCAAGACCTACTTATATGATCTATGGGCCCTCATGAAAAAGTAAGATTTAAAAACGCTTTGTCAAAAAGGTTGTAAATTTTAGTTACACCTACCTTTTCTCGACAATTGCCTATACGTGCATTGTTTTTGTGACTGGCAGTGTTTTATGGTAAGATTCTAAATGATTCAACCGTATTTCTTTTTATTTTAAGGTGGGTTCCTACAGCAATTCAACATGCCAAAGTTCGCGAAATGAAGCTCAACTCTACAAGTCTTCTGGATGAAAAGGATAAAGGAAAGTTAGTATACAACAATTTCAAGCAAATAATCAATAACTTTCGTATTGCTCTCTACTTTGGAGCCGTCACAATGGTTGGTGAAATCGTTGGAGTAATTATGGGTTCAGCTTTCTCAACGGTATGACATCTTGCTTTTAATGTTCACATCTCAAATAATTTCTAGTTACTGCGCAATGGAAAGTGGTGCTTCAAGTGCTGTCAAACACAACGATCCAATCCAATCATTTCCGCCGTTGGAGCGCTGATCGCAACTCCATTTCTTCTTGGAGGATTGCAACTGATCAGAGTGTCTGTCGAGACTAGCTACGTATGTTTATTTTCCGTTAATAAGTTAATAATTCGATCAACGAAATACTTATTTCACAATGAAGCAGCGATAATCCCCATTCAGTTCGTCTCCTTCGTCGGTTCTTTGTCCTTGCTTCCTTCGACTCGCTGTTTGAAGGCAATTTTTCCCTAAAATATCCAATCGAAGTAGCCACTTTTATATTTAAGCCAACGCTTTTACATTCTTTCGTTTCAGTCTTTTTTTCTTTTGATCTTCTTCTTTCTTTCAAATTTCTCACCTCTGCCATTGTAGATGGGCGCTGCATTTGTGAACGGGTTTGTCGGCAACTAAGCATTCCAAAATTCCCCAAAACAAATCAAATCTCACGTTGCCGCTGCTCCAGTGACGGCTCCTGTTGCTTTATTCCGCGCGACAACAATTCTTGCCGGAGGAGTAGGCAAGATTTTGAAAGGAATCGCGGAAGGACGGGGTCTTAAATCAAAATCACTTCCAAAATCAAACCTTTAAGCGACCATTTACGGCGTTACAGGATCTTTTTCAGATGAAAGTCGGAAACTCGAATCATCCTCATCCGTTTCTTCTATTGTTTTCTCCATGTAGTTTTCATTCTTCTTGACTTCTTTCTTAAAATCAAACTTCAATTTTAAAATCCCCGTCACAAATATTACCTTTGTCTTGCCACACATCAAAAGTGCCGTTAGAAAAAAGAATATTGTACCGAATTTTATGGCCTCTAACATTTGAATAAAACAAGTAACTAAGTCTAAAAGTAAACAAAAACAAAATAAGCTTAAAATTTACCTGGATAGAACCTTTGAACCACGGAGCCGAGAAGAAATTATGAAATGATGACATGAATTTGTTTTCCATCTATATAACGAGTTAAATTTAAATTTAGTTCTTTGAAATTGGGATTTCAGCATAAATTAAAATTCTTTATTCTAATTTAGATCTTCATTTTCGTTGCTATTACCGGACTTTGCTTCAATTGGACCATCAATGGCGATCTACTAATGACGATTACTGTTCCATGGAGGTTCGTTCATATGAATTTTAAATTACACTCAATACTTTAGGCGTAATTCGGCAAAGGCATGGCAAACTCTGATTTCACATTTGTTCGGTGATGCACTTGGACCATATCTCGTTGGATTGGTAATGCATACTGTATCTGCTAAAATTTCTTGTGTTTGTTTAGCTTGCTGATCGAATAAGCTTGAGCGACTCTCCAAGAGATTTATTTGATGCTTTGCTATACGCTTTTTATATTCCTTCGGCACTTTGTGGCATTTCGGTGAGTTGTTATGATAATGACAATCAAAACTGTTGCAATTTAGGCATTCTTGTTCATAATTGCTGCGATTACAGTAATAAGAGATCAAGCAAGATGCCTGGTTGAAATTGGTATGATTTTTCGATTTTACTGCTATTTGTTAATCACTTTAGGTATTGACGATAGAATTTCATCGAGAAAAGATGTCGAAACAAAAGGAAATGCAAATAAATTGTAATAAAATAATTGGGGTTGTAGTTATTTCTGTGTGAATTATTCGTAAATTTAGATTAATAAAGAGATGTATCAACCATTTTGAACCATTATAGATACAGCAAATTAACATTCTTGAAAAATTACCATGTGAACTGCTTAATATTTGGATGTAAACCTATTACATATTTTGTAACCAAACATCCCAAAAACCAAGTCCTATTCATTTATTCTCTACTCGATTTCCTGGCTGGCCATTTCTTATTGTTCCATTTACTTCATGTTGAAATCCTCGATCAATGGTTAATTTTCGAGGTGAATCTTGTTGAGATTACCCATTTAGCAATTCCATTTCGAAGGTTTTCCGTATCATCAAGGGCCCTGAAGGTTGTTAACTACTTGTTTCTTGTATTCACTTCTTTTGTTAGTTCTCTTGCAACTTTCATTTTTATTTCAGGCAACTCCGACCTATTTGATAGATCCTTGCTGCATTGTCGTCGAGCGAGCTGCAATCACTGAAGCGGCAGATGGAATCAAAGTAATCGTTTTGATTATCTTTAAACAATTTATGGTATGATGACAGGGTTTCATCAAACACACTTTATGCCAACGATCGCACCCGCTTTCTGATTTGACGGACATCAATGTTTACCTGAAGATGGAACAGACACAAGTTGATTTTTGGCTCGATTTTGCTTAATTTGAGATTTTAGACGACTGGAAGCTTTAAAGAACACGGCGCTCGATGAGCTTTAATGAATCTTACAGAAAGCGAGCGAAAGAAAGGAGTAAAATTTGTGGTGTCTGCTGAATTTTCTTCGTTTTAGGTTTATGCTGCCTCAGCTGGTAATCACGCACAAGCACTCTGCATGCATGGAAAACAATTGGGTATCCCCGTTACGGTAAGTAAAATGTTTAAATAATTGGTATGCTTTGATTAGGTGGTAATGCCTCGACATGCACCAATTAAAAAGATTGCTCATCGCAAGAAGTTGGGAGGAAACGTCATTGTTCAGGTAGAAGCGCTTTTTTGTATCTTTTCACGTGAGTTTTAGGGGAAAAACCTATCTGAAAGTCGGCTAATTGCATTGGGCAAAAGCTTAGATGAAGGTGGAAAGTACATTAATGGGCGAGTGTTTTTAATTTAGTATACAAGTCAGCAATATTTAGCTATGATCATAAGGATGTTATTGCTGGCGCTGGAACGGTTGGCTTGGAAATAATTGAACAGGTAATAGTCGTTTGATATTTGAGATTACTTTGTGATTAGTTTCCTGACGTTGATGCTGTAGTTTTGCCGGCAGGTGGTGGAGGACTTGTTGCAGGAGTGGCTACTGCTATTAAAGGATTACGTTCCGATGTGAAAATTATCTCCGTTGAAGCTGATCGTTGTCCATCGTTCAAGGTGATGGGAACCCTAAAATGTTTACTTATAAGGGGATATTTAGAACGCTCTTCAAGTTGGTCATCCAATCGAAACCTCCGTTTTACCAACTCTCGCCGATGGCTTAGCTGTATCTGTAATCGGTGTTAATGCTTTTGCTACAGCTAAAGGTTAGTTTTGACTTTTATAACAGTTCGTATACCCATATACTATTCTTAGACAAAGTTGATGATGCGATAGTTGTCGATGAAAAAGCGATCGGTTTGGCCATCTTGCGCCTTGTTGAATTGGAAAAGGTTTGTTTTCTTCAATAAATTTTTAATATAAAGCTTACAGATTGTGATCGAAGGGGCTGGAGCTTGTGGAGTCGGAGCATTGTTGTTAGGGAAACTCAATCAATTTAAAGGGAAAAAGGTTTGATTTGTGGGTGTTTGTTTGCAAAACTTGTCATTAAGGTGGTGACTGTGCTTAGTGGAGGCAATAGCGATACAATTGGGACGCGTAATGGAACGAGGTTTTTTTTCTGGTTTGTTGTTTTGTTAAATCTATTTTCTTTTCAAGGAATGGCTTGGGATAACCGTCTTGTGCACTTCAAGGTTTTTTAAATCGCGACTTTACATTTGTTTCTTATTTTTAGGTGAATGTATCAGATCGTCCTGGTGGGATCTCTGAACTGACGAATATCATTGCCGAGAATGGCGCTTCAATTAAGGACATTTTTCTGGTAAAACTTTTTTGTAGAAGCTTCAGGTAGTAGAATGTAGGAACGTTCTTGGACTCGTTCTGATGTGTTTACTGTGCGAGTGAAAATTGTGGCCGAAACGCGGAATTGATCATGCTCGAGAATTGGATTATGCTCTACAGAAACGGTAAAAATAAAACGGGTTTCCCATTGAAGTCTTTCTTTTTACAGATATGCCCAAGATTGTCTTTTCCATCTATTCCCTGAACTCCCTGAACTCGCATCGTTAAGGTGACAATATAAATATTTATGCTTATTCCCATTGTTTCGAAACACTATTTGACCAATCCAATTTGACCAATTCGAAACACTATTTGACCAATTTGACCAATTGTCATTGAAATCGGTCTACTCTTTTCAAGTTCTATAAAATGGTTTTGGGGTTTTTATTTCTCGGAATCAAACCTTGTTCTAATTCAATTTTCCGAAGATCTCGTTTTGTTGTTAAAACTGATGCGAAAAATAGTATTGTTGCTAGACCTATAGAAAATGATTTATAAAGAATTAAAGGAATAGCGTTTCACCCAAAACTCCAACAGGAAAATAGAAAGCTTTGACGAGAGAATCGAAATGATCTTGTGGTGTTGACCCTTTTCGTACTCCATCCGATATCTATTTTGAATTAATTAATTTTGAACATTGATCGTTCACTTACAGCTCCAACAATGTATGGACCAGTGGCATCACCGAGTATTGATGAAACAAGAGTTTGCCATGAATTTGCTGCGTTTCTTCGACTCGGAGCAATCAATGACTAAAAACGAATTTCTTCCTAGCAGATTTATTTATCGATCAGTTTGGTACTTTGTGGGTTGGGGGCGCCTTTGATTTTTGATTTTTTCACGTTTCTTTCACTTTTCTAGGGGTAATCGAGGGTGCTGAGCACGAATTTGACAGTTTTAACATAGGTTTTCAACTGAAAAACCGACATTTCGACACGCTGAAAATTACCCTTCTAGGCGCTATTAAGGTTAGGGGGACATTTTTTTTTCTTCAAAACCACTTTTTCTGGGGTAATTTTGTGCATAGATTCCGAAAAACACAACGTGAACTTGGGAAAATGTGTTTTAAGTCAAGTTTCGGGGCGACTGATTACGTTTCTGATCAAATTGGAGCAAAATAAAAAATATTTTTTTTCAGGTTTCGACCATGTGGTCCCTCACATGGGTCAAAATCGGTCAAAATCTTAAAGAATATTTTTCAATTGCTTCTACCAATCAATTTAAGTTAGAAAATAACTATTTAGTGGCTAAAAATGGTTTTGGCTCTAGTTTTTACGTTGAAAAGTGTCCCAATAGTCGATGGCTTGAGTACACAAATCGTTGCATTTAAAGTGCAGAAAAAGTGTAATTTTCAACATGTCGAAATGGCGGTTTTTCAGTTGAAAACCTAGGCTAAAACTGTCAAACTCGTATTCAACGCCCTCGATTACCCCTAGAAAAGTGAAAAAATAAAAAATATAGGTACCCCCACCCACAAAGTCCGTCAGTTTAGTTTCCAATAGAAATCTCGGATAAATAGAATATTCTACTAGTTCTTTTTCGTATTTTCTATCGTAATCCATTTTCTATTCTGCACCTGCTTTGTCCGATAAGCAAATCTCATCCTTTTTTTGTACAACTCACCAACTGTAAATCGATCACTACGGCTAAATTGCAACAAGCGGCGGTAATGCCGATGAAAAAGAGAACCTATAAGTGTTCATTGAGATTGGTCGTCTCTTTTACGTACATAAGCAATTGTCAAATGTTCCTTTGCCAGTGGAAAACCGACGGCCATTGTCGGAATGCAAATGAGCGCACCGCTAAACTTTTTTGATTGTGCCTAGTGATTGTGGGTCATTTGATACGCGCCCCTTTGGCCATTGGCAATCTAACTTTGAGCTCCAATATTTTGGTGTTAGGCTGTCCAATTTAAATAGTTTTTGTACTAGTCAACAGAGAAAGACTTGGCGCATCTAATAATCTCAAGAATATTTAAATTCGACAGCCCAACACAAAGATATTTGAGCTCAAAGTTAGATTGCCAATGGCAAAAGGGCAGGGCGCATATCAAATGTCCGATAACCTGCCTAGTAGGGAAACTTTGAATTTTTAGACTTTTCGTATCCAATCACTCACATCGTGCAAACCCATGCATCAGCGCTTTGCGTTTTGAACCGTCGAAATGGTCGCTTGCCTATTTGGAGCCACTAAAATAGCAATTATCCTACTATTCAATTATTCTATTGCAATGTAAATGATTTTGATTTAGAATTCGAATTCGAATTGCTATTACTCACGTGAGCTATCAATGACCCCATCCCGACACCGAAAAGTCCCGAAACTAATGTTATCGCTCCGGTAACCAATGTGATACTAAACACCAAATTGTCCATGAAAAAAGGGTTATTCTTTTTCTTTTACTTGTCTTTTTGATTGTGCGTCAAATCTTCAGTCTTGCTTAGATTCAATTTTGAGGCTTTTCCATGTTCGATTAATGTGGGAGCCGACCTGAAATCATATTAAACTAGTAAGAGTCTCAATTTTCTTTACCATTCGAGAGAACCCGTCAAGAACATCACACAGGTTAGCCCGAGTTTTAAGTCAAGTTTCGGGACTACTGATTGGATGATTTCTGAGGTGAAGACGTGGAGTCGGCCATGTGCATTTGGATGTGGAGATGTTTGTGTTGTGCATTTAACGGCTTGATATCGTTTGAATAAAGGAATACATGAAAAAGATTCCAAGTAACGCAAGAAAACAGGAAAAAAGGAATGCGGCCTTAAAAAGGGTTCCTGAATTTTTAAATGACTTTTCATGTAGTTGACATTTTAAAATTGAACAATAGTTGATTACATTCACATCTTTAAAATAGTTTTCTCAATTTGATTTCATTAATTCCTTCCTTCCTTTAAAACTTTAAAAATGTCTCCAAATAAACAGCTTCTTCAAAATCACAAAACGAGAAATGAAAATCTTTGTGCTTCTTCTTTTGACTTCATGCCTGGTTATTTCAATAGTTCAAATAAGTCAAAGCAGTAATTTTTGGTGGTTTTAAGTATCTATTAGGTTTGAAAGAAAGTTCTCGGAAAAAGTTTGACTGGAATTTCTTGTAAACCAATCCACCATAAATGAGCAATACGCTCTATACGGGATACGACAAAAGTAAACCGAATAATTCGGACGGCGAAACACAATATTAGGTTGGAAAGAAAGTTCTCGAGAAGTTCAACTGAATAAAGCATATATATTTTGTCCTATTATTTACAAGTCGACTCCAAGAAATTACTTGTAAAAAAAGAGTGTAGCTCCGTAAAATTTTAGAGATTTTTGAAAAATTATTATTTTCCAGCTTAAATTCTGACCACTTTTTGCGGCTTCCTTATGAGGTAAAGCTAGCATAAATGAACAATGATCAATACGCTCTATAATCTCTATCTTTAGCCAAAAATTTTAACAGAGAAGCTTTTTCAAAAAATAATTTGGGTGTCACCTTCTTGGCACTGAGTGTTATAGGTGATTTTGAAAAGTGAAAGCATTTGATCAAATTGGCCTTAATCACAAATTTTCCCTATTTTAAGTACTTCATTTTAGGTTTTGAAATGGAACCCATTGCCTATTCATTAACCCATTAAAAACTTGTCTAAAGGCTGGTCACTCAAAAAGTGACCAAATCACTTCAGCTGAAGAAATCTCTTCTTTTTTTACCTAAAGCCAACTCTGGTTTTTTTAGTCAAAAACTTATTGAAATATAGTCAAGTTCATCAAACAATCTGGGAAGAATTTATGGCTTGGTCTTTGAGAAATCACTGTGCAAACTTTTTCCCAGAACTTTCTTTCCAACCCAATACCACTTTGTTTAATGTACTGAAGTAACTATAAAGTAACTATCAAGTATGCGCCAAGCATTGGTGGATTCACTTTTAAGAAATTCAGTCAAACTTTTTCCGAGAACTTTCCTTCCAACCTAATAATTTGGAAGGGACCTTCATCACGTTAGAACCGCAAAGCTTTGTGTTAGCCCACTTAGGTAACTGTTAATTCAAAAGTCTAGCTCAAAATTTAAGTGTTTGATCTTATTTTTGAATAAAGTATTTATTTTTCGGCAAAAATATGGCAACTCAGATACAGTTTGTCCTAAAAGCGAAAATTTTTCTTCTCGTTTTTCCATTAAATTATTTTGAGCCAAATATTATCAGGAAAAAAAGAAGAAAAATGTATGATTCTATCAAAAAAATTCTTTTTGAATCGAATCATTGTCACAACATAGACCTTTCAATCAGAAAATAGAAATTTGATGAGAAAATGAAGTCGTCAAATCAAATTCCAAAGTCAATTTATTTCAACAACTTCTCGTTTTTATACTAAACTTTCTCTTTTTACAATTCACATTTTTAAAAATTTGCTTTTTAAGTGTAAATGAAGAAAGAATTCGTTTTCTTGCTTGTGGCTTCACTGGCACAAATTGGGACGGCAAATGAAGGTTCGTTGGTTTCGATCGATTACTTTGTTCTTTTTTTGTTACCCAACTCGTCTACTGACTGTTTTTTTAGAATGGAGCAAGACAACATCACTTTGCGCCCATGATAATCCGGCTTTGGAGTTGGAATTGGCGCTTGACCTTTGCTCAGCCATTGTCTTTTTCGAGAAGTATTATCAAAGTGAATCCACTTCTCATCCATCGTCAAGATATTCTCAAAAAAATGGCTTTTTTTTCGACTTATGGAGCAAGATATGGCTGATCGAAACGCGTGCTCCCAGATTCTCAACACTCAATTGATGTGGAACCCATTGTCATTACGATTTGTCTTTCCAATTATTTCCAAATGGCGAACAATTGTTGAATGATCACATTGGAGATGTTTGGCAAGTTCTCGTGTTGTTTGCATTGGATCAGCTTCAATTAATTGTTCCAATTCATTGTTGTCGATGGCTGTGGCACGATGTCCATGCGATTCGTCTTCAAGGGATTCATTACCATCTCGGAATTGGGCAAACCAGAGCTGGCATGATCTTTCGGTGATAACCTGTTCTCCAAAGGCGGAACAGAGATCACGATGTGAATCAGCAGCGTTTTTGCCCATTTTGAAGTCATAGAGAAGACACG